CCTTTTTGCCTCAACAAAAAGAGGAAAAATGCCAATCTCCTTTTAAGCTGTTGAGCAAAAACTTTCACTTTGTTGCAGAACTGCTTTGGGATGAGAACGAACGATCAACACCAGAAGTTTAGCACAGGCAACAATAACGAAATAATAAAAAAAAAGAGAGAAAAGTTCTAAAAAGTTCCTGTATTAAGTCCATTTAACCCGCCATTGAACTTTACGCCTCAACAGCCACCTAATGCAAAAAAAAAAAGCAAAAAGAACACAAGAGGGGTAGAAAATCTACGCAAAACCAACAAAAAACTAGCAAGTTCTTAAAAACTTGCCACAGGCAACAACAAAGAAAATGAGCAGGAGCTCCAGAGAGGAATGCAGACAGGAGGGCAAGGAGAGAGAGAGGAAGAGTGAGAGAGTGAGTAACTGGCAAATGGACAAGAATGGAAAATGAAATGGAAAAGTTTGTGCCAACAATTTTGGCCAAAAAAAAAATTCAATAAAATAACGCTTTCGTCTGAGCGGAGCTGAGCAACAGAGGAAAACTAAAAAACTTTTGCCTGGTTGAGGACAATTTTCATGAAATTTGCCCTGCCACGCCCAAGCGCTGAACCGCCCCCCAGCGGCATTAAAGTTTAACAATAGAAGTTGGCGCGTGTGTCGCCGTACAGAGAAAACCTCAAAAGTATCCCAAAGGGAGCGAGCGGGGCAAAGAACGTGGCCAGAACTTGGGCACACTATTTGTACGTAAAACAGATCTATTGTAGTTGTTTCCCTTGTTGTTGTTGTTGCTGTTGCTCGTCTGTGCCTGCGTTTATTCTGCTTACAGTTAAATAGATAAACATTTTAGCTGAAACAGTTGCAAGCGGATGCAGGAGGCGAATCTGTAGAGACTCCAAGGAACAAACATTTTGACTGAACCGTGCTGAGGAGGTTTTGGGGCCTGCAGCTGGGTGGCAGCTACAATGTACGACTCTCTCTCTATCTCACTCTCGCTGGATGCATATTTTTTCCAGGGAAAAGAAAATGGCGCCTGTGCAGGCAGCATATGCTTCGATATGTATGAGCAGTGGCTCAGCAAAGGGGGGATTGTGATTGGCCTAATAGAATGCGATATATAAGGGTGAACGCATTACAAATAGCTCATTACAATAAGCATTAGATTAGGGGCACAGTTATCATATTATGGCCTGCCTAAGCCAACCCCTTTTGCAGGCGCCACTGCTCGTAACGCACAACTAACTATTATCAGAAGATAAATGCCAGTCCCTCGCATAACTAAGACTTATCCAAAGACAACGAGGACGCTGCTGCAGCTGCTGCTGCTCCAGAACAAAACTGCTAAGCCGACAGCCAGCCAGCCAGCTAGGCAGCCAGACAGCCAGGATAAGGCCATGGTTTAACAAAAAGGAGGAAAAACTGGCAGCAGTGGCAGCAACCTGCATGATGCCTGCTCCACTTGCTGGGGCGCGTTGATTGTGGCATCTGCTGCATGTTGAAGCCAGTTGAGGCGATGCCATAACGGCGCCTTGGAATTTTAATAGAGCAAATTTCAGTGCAAAAATGCGTAGCGAAGTGGCCCGAGTCGAGTTTTTTTTTTTTTTTTGCCCCACCCCCACCCAAAGCTGGCAATAAAACTTCCAAATGAAGTTAAGCAAACTTTTTAAATGCCTGCCTAGGCGTGGCATGTGCTGAGAAGAAAGAAGAGCATGTCTTGAGCGCGGCATGAATTAGGGATGAAAAGGAACTACACTGCAGTTGCAGAACCAAACTGGACAACAACTCGTTGTCAAGACAATATATTTAATGAAAATCGCTTCAGTTTTGATACGATTGTCTTTTTATGGAACAACTAGAAAACGAATTTATTTTGCAATTTTAAACTTATTTGGCCGCATTAAGAAATAGCATTAAAGGCGGTTTTAAATGGCGTTTAATATGTATTTTGATGTCCCGCAGGGGCGTGGACCTACGCACTTGTAATGCGGCCAACGACAAAGCCAAAGGAGGCACCAAAATGATGATGATGACGCCTACTCCAAGACTCCATTTCGCCCTCTTCATGCACGCCCACACGCAGATACATAGCTACAGAGATGGCCGAGGCTTCATCTTCATCCGAATGCTTGGCGCAAAATGCTAAAGGGCCCCAAAGGACCTGGCGCTGTGTAAGGACACAGCTCGGCCAGCTTTTTGCAAATTTACGATTATGATTATTACAAGTCAACGTTTTTTTCTTCAACTTCTTGTTCTCCATTTAGTTGCCGAGGGTTGGCCAAGTGGAGTGTATATGCGTGCGTGTGTGTATTTGTGGGTGTGTGGGTGGTTGTTTCGTAGGTGTATTCGCAGTTTGGCATTTGGACAGCTGCTTCGGGAAAGAAGTGCAAAGAATGCGTCAAAGTATTTTAGCACTTTAGCAGGGGGCAGCTGCCGGTCGACCGACAAGGCTAACAAAATGTACAACAAAACTTGGGCCAAAGTTATTACAACTTCAGGCGGTAGTTGGCTACGGGATGCTGAAGGGGTGCAGGGGGTCGCCTTGTCTTACCACGTCTTGGCGGTAAGAGACATTGACCTCCAGCAGCAGCCCTTGGAAATCCCGCAAATTCCATGGGGCATAATAAACGTAAGATAAAAGTCAAAGAGGGACAAAAATTATATAATAAACTGTACGCCAAGTGAAATTATTGTATTTTCCTGTGGCACGTTAAGAGTTGTTTGCTGTTGTGTTGGGGGGTCGCTGCTCGTCAATTTGATGTAAGTACAATAAAATTTTGATGTGCAGCCGTTGCTCTGCGCGATGTTGAGTACAGGTTGATTTTGATGCCCTGTGCAAGAAAGTGGCATGAAATATTTGCCAGAGTGAATACAAAATGTCCAACTCTAAATAATTAAAATATAATTCAGTTAAAACAAAAGTCTCTAGCACAAGAATTGTTTTAATTTAATTGAAAACTTTATGGCGATTTCAAATTCTGACGTCAAGACTTGCGTAGCTCTGGACTTAAGCATATTCCTGCACTTCGGGCTCATATTTCAAAGAACTGCCGGGACATAGAGTATTCAATAACTGTCATGGTTTAGTTGAATGTTTGCCCAAAACTTTGTTATGCGAGACATTTTACATTTTGATATCGCGCAGGCACTCGAAAAAGTTTAGCTGGATACTGTATGGCTGCTCTCTTTCTCCGACGCTGGGCCAGGGGCTGGGCTTTGGACACACCTATATATATGTATGTATATATATATACATATATACACCCGCACACACATACACAAACCAACACACACATAAATAAAAGGTATAACAATAACTCAGCAATGCTGCAGAGCGCGCTGGTGCTTATCAAGTTGGGCGCATCGAATTCAGAGTACAACAAAAAGAATGAAATGAAAAAATGAAAATAAAAATACTAACAGAAAATACCAAATCATAAAAGCATGACGACGAGCAATTTACAAAAAGCCAAACACCGAGGGAGAGTGAGATTCAAATCAAGAACGTGCGCCTTTCTGGCAAGAACCCGCAAGAACCCAAACCAAACGTGGCCAGGGCTCAATCTCAGTCGAACTAAGTAGGCAACTACTTATGGCGTATAGTAAGTATATTTTAGCTGCGTTTGTAAAAACAACAACTTAATGATTAATGATGCGCCTCCTTTGTCTGCGGCGCATTTCACTTTTCTCAGCTGCTGTGGCCACTGTGGCAACTTGGCCATGTTAACGCTTCAATTGAGAGAACTGAGAACTGTGAATTGAGAATGGAAATTGTTCGAAGTTGTTTTTTTTTTCTATTTTTTTCATCATCATTTTTAACTTGAGCTTTGATTGCTTGCGCACTTGTGCGCTGTTGTTGTTGGAATATTTTCCAATTTTCCAGTCGCTTTCTAAGCGCTGCGCAGTAATCACTTTGTCATTGCCATCATTTTTCAGCATCAATTGTTGCAGCAGCGCGGCATAAATTCACTTTTCAGACACACACATGCACACACTCGCACTCAGGCTCCATCTGGGCTGTCTAATGGAATTGAGAGATACAGACAGATAGACAGACTGCGGACTGGGGGCCCAGCCAAGTTGTCTGTGTTTGCCCTTTTGGGAGAGCGCGAGTCGCTGCAGCGCCCTGTCAGACGATTGTCCAAGTGCGCATATGGACAACAAGTCGATAGGTTTCGTCTCTCTGTTTGAAGTGGACTTCCCTGGAATTGGCTCTGAAATGCAACATTCAAAGCTCCGCCCGGGCCAGCGTCTTTCATGTGCACCGCCAGACCGATCAGCCAGATCAGATAGAACAGAACAGAACAGACCCAACCAGACGCAGTCAGCATCTGCCAAACTTATCCAAAGAACAAAAGATCAAAGCTGAACTTATGGATCTGTCTAACAAGACCAAGAAGTGCCTGCTTATTACTGTGCATAATCGAAAATGTTACGCTAAATGCAATTGCATCGATCCGTGATCCGTGAGCCATAATGGGAGCGTGCAACGAATTGTGGTACGCAAATGTTGGGGCAACTTAGCGCCTAGTTATGAAGCCAGCCTCTGACAGCAGATTGATCTATCTATATCGCCCTCTTTCGCGCTCTCTCTCTCTCTCTCTCTTTTATTGGCATCCTGAGGAGTGAATTGGAAGGAGCTCTTTATAAATAACATAACCTAGGAACAAGAAAAGATTTGTTCATCGAGAAAATTAATAGACAAAAAAAAAATCGAACCTTATTTTATGAGTGCGAACAAAAGCATATATGCAAAACTGATTTTGAAATTACACTTATAACAATAATAACAATTTAAAGGAATAGTTCAATGTCATATCAACTGTGGATATTTCTCCTAATTTCACATTAATAATTCCAGGCTGTGAACTAAGAAAGTCCGTTCTATAACAAATCTCTTCCAGCTCTATCATAATACTCAGAATTTCGATATGCTCTTTAATCTATAAATAGAGCCCACAATACCAGCCCACTTCGTAGCTGCACTTGCAGCGAATCAAGTACATTAAACTCACCAGTTTTGAATGTGTTGCTGTGTGAAGCGGTGCCAATTAGCCACTTGCCTTATGCCAATTGGAATGTTCACCTGTCGACGCGTCGATTCGTCTCGTTTCGTCCTTTCCTCCGGTTGCGGTGCGGTGTGAGGCGTAAACGTAATCCAAGACCTGGTTGCAGTTTGCTTAGCTGCTGTTGTTGTTGCAAGGATAACGGTAATTAAACCGCAGGCTGGCCCGTACACGGGGTCGCCATTGCATGCCTTGCACAAAATGTTGTTGTTGTTGTTGATGTTAGCGTTGTTTTTGTTGTTGGCGTTGGTTGTCGTTAGGTTATTGGCCGCGCCGCTTAGCTTGACACTTTTCAAACTTTTTCTTTTGGTTAGTTAAACAACTTTTTGCCAGCACTTGGCAGAGACACACACACCTGTACACAGACACACACATATATATATGTATGTATATATATATGTACGTATACATATATGCATGCACATATATATAGATGCACTTCCAGTATGCGCTAATTTTTTGCTGGTTTGCTTGCTTTACACTTTTTGCTTGGTCTGCGTTGTAAATCTTTGCGCGTTGTTGTTGTTTTAAAGAAATTCTTTTGCTCAATGGCAAAATGTTTGGACGACGTCTTCGTCGGCTGATTTTTCTTCGTTATTTTTTTTTTTTTGTTGTTGTTGTTTTTTTGCCGGATCTTACTCTGTGAGTCTCTTGGCCAAGCTCCACTCAGCTCGGCTCGCGGTATGGCGCTCGCTCTGACTCTGACTGCGATTGTGGCGGCTGCTCTTCCGCAGAAACAAGCTTCCAAGCAGGTTGCACTGTTGCAAGCAGGATAGGAGGGCGCGCCTGCTATGTTGCAGCGAGGCGGGGCAGCTGGGACGGCAGCGACGGTAGCGGCGGCGGCGGTGGCGGCAGTAGTTACAGCTACAATCTGCAATCTGTTTGTGGCATTAAATCAGTGAACCAAGACGCGCAGCCAGATTTGTTTATGCGGCCGCAGCGTTTCCAGCCAACTTGCAACTTGGCTCGTTGCAAGCGATGCAAATTTGTATAACAAATCAGCACTTACAGCTCAATTAACGCGAATTTCGGCACAAGCATACACACAGGCACACACACACACGCACACACACTCACTAAGATCACATAGATCGCAAACAATATTCTGGGACTGCGGTGGCTTTCGGTATACGGTATGCAGTACACGGGTACGGGTACGGCCACGGGATACGTTTCCGGATACGGATACACACACGCGCCTGAATGGCTTTTGTTGTTATTGTTGCCCCAATATCAATATCTAGCTGAATGCTAATCGCTATTGTTGTCGTTGATATTATTTTTGTTGTCGTTATTGTTATTGCGGTACGCGCGCCGCTGTTTTGGGTCGCTACGTTCCGAACCGGTTATAAAATTGTTATTTTTCGTGTTATATTGTCCGGCTTTCAGTACCGCACGCCTCGACGATTCAGAGTGAACAGAACAAGTTGCGAGTTCGAGCCGCGACTTCGGCGTCGACGCTTCGTTTGGCCACTCAATGCAGATACGTTTGCCGCATCGTGAGCTGCGATAGAAACACAGGCGGGAATTCAACTCGAACATGTTGCGACCATAAAGCGGAACGTTGGCAAACTGAAACACTCAAACAACACTCGCTTTGAGTGCTTATGCGAAACGTATTGAATATGTGGCAGTGAGTGGAGTCCAATTGGACTAGCAGGCGGCAACTCGGTCAGGTGTTAGAGCCGTGACCGCTGCTGCTGATGCTGCTGCTGTTGCTGCCGCGTCTAATTGTGAATGATTTATGTGGGTCGGTCGCAGCGAGCGCAATTCTTTGGCCGCAAGAAGAAAGTGAGCTGCAACCACAGCCGGAACGAACTTTGGATGCAGCAGCTCCCAATTGAAATAAATCTTTATGCGCAGACGAAAATATGCAGAGAGCCAGCAGCAAAAAATCCTTGTGGGTCATTGCCTTGGTCAAAAACAAAGGACACTTGCAAATGAGCTGGCACCCAAATCCCAACCAACGAGTTGCAGCTCCAGCGCACAATGACTCAGCTGATTGCGCGTGCGAGTGTCTGGCGAGTCGCGTAGGCGTCCACTGGGAGCTGGCCGCAAGGGCTGGCAGTCAGGCAGGCGGACAGGCAGGCGGACAGGCAGGCGGGGGCAGCTAACAGGCTACTCGAGTGCACCTGTTTTGTTATGCAAAGTTTACCGGCTCTTTCAGGTGGCAGCCATAGAATATTCAATGCGAAAAAGGACGCAAAACCCCGTGCATTTCATCTGGTCTAATGTGCAAAGTTGATAGTTGGATGTGCACAAACCACAGGTGACCCCATGCCGGCATTAACGTGCACCGAATGGGCTTATAAATACATAAATACCGCACACAGTTGGGTCTATTAAAAGTCCTCGAGCAGCTCCTGTGTGGCTAACAACCACAATAAAGTTGCAAGCTGCACATAAAAATTAAATACACATAGCTGAACTCATTTCTATTTATTACTCGAAGGCTGAGCTTGTTTTAAGGAACTTTAGAGTCTATGTCTCGGATATATATATTTTGAATATTTTGAATAAATATATTTTCAAGTTAAGAAAGTGCACAGATTTCAGATATATTTTCCAAATATACCAAACGTTAACATTTCTTTGAAATAAACGCATATTTGATCTCGATTCACTGCTCTGTCTGAAAGTTTGTCGATCTTAAGCACTGCAGCCCCTTGGCACTATCTAAAATACTTTCCATAGCAACTGCGACGAGTTGGACAAACCGGCTGACACTCAACGCTAGACAAGTTCAATGCCATGGATGGGCATCAAAGCGATTCTACTTGGCCTCGCCTCCACACCCCTCTCGGCTCAGGTCCTTCTGACAGCCACGAGACGTCGTTGTCGTCGTCAGCATCGAAGCTGCCGTAATGCCCGCCAGAGCTTTGGAATGATTTATGAGAAATGGCAAAGCGCGCCACAGACGTTGCTGATGAGGACGACGACGACGACGACGTCGATGCTGAGGCTGTGGCTCCGACTTCGACTCCGGCCGCTGACGCCAAGAAGGTGGAGCGCCAAGACAAACAATTGACATTTGATGGATGCGTAACTCGTGCATTCAAATGCATGAGGCACAACAGCGGGCAGGAGGCGCAAGCGGAGCAGGGCAACATAAATTTGACAGGCCACTGGACGCCACTGATGGACGCCGCATGAACGCAGTTTGTCGCAGGCGTCAGCTAATTGTTATTGATAATCGAGTCGCTTTTATGTCTCTGTTTGATTTTGAAGTAATTGGCAGCAGCGCTTGCTACGATTAATTAGTCAATCAATAAGCCAAGGAGCAATAGAGTTCCCCCCAGCTTCCCTAGCCACCCTGACGTCCTGTTGTCCCGCCCTAATCAGATGAGCTGCGGCAGCTACCACAAGAAGACCTTTAACTTGAATTATGTTTTGGCATACTCATTGTCTGCAGGCCTGATGCCTTGCCTGGCCTGGCCTGCCCTGGCCCAGACTGGCAAAATCACGGCTCCATCCTGCGCCTAACTGCAAACAAACTTCTCTATTATTGATTTATACCTTTCAACGATTCTCTGTATTTATCATGAGTGCAAGCCACATTTATCATTAATAATGCCGCGGCTGCCTCCACAGCGGCAACGGCAGCAGCAGCAGCAGCCGCAACCGCCGCCAGACGCAAAGTGGTAGCCCAAACGAGCAGCAGCGGCAGCCCCAAGCATCCGCATCTAGGCAGCTGCTAGATTCTAAGCGGGCACAGTGGTTCAAGGGATTGCAACCTGAGATGATACTGATGCTTTAAATTGATAATACTATGCAAAAGCCATAATGCGCCAAGGCTGCCATACAGAGGACGAAAAAAATTTCTCTCTTGTAGGATACAAGAAATATTCGCTTCTAAAAAATCAGATTAAGAAAAGAGTTTTTGTTATTCGAGAAATAGTAACCAAACGATGAGTAGACCAAAAAATATTGAACTGAATTTAGTTTTGGCAAATATAATACTGATCGCTGTGCTTGTGCAAAGCTAATTTTGCAAACTTTTGCGTGTAAAGTTTATAAATTAATCCAAGGCTAAATATGCAAGGGATTAAAATAAATATTTAACTTCAAACGACTGCTGGACACACGTATTCATAATATTTGATCCCACTGTGCGGCAGCGTCTTACCGGCATTCGAGCACCCCCGTTGAGCCGTTGCTGCTGCTTCTGCTGCTGAGGAATTGTGGGTCCGTGGCCCAACTGGCTGGCTGGATGGCTGGCTAGAGAGTTAGAGCTGCGATCATTTTCCGTACATCATTTCTATGGTGTATTTATTGCCTGGTCGCAATGATCATCGCGGTCTGGGCCTCCATTTCCGTTGCTCACTGCGCAAAAGTTCAGGCCCAGCAACTGATGGCAGCAACTGGCAACTGGCAACTGGCAACTGGCAACTGGCAACGGACGACGGCGGCGGCAAAATCCATTTTGGGAAGGTGATCTGTGGGATTGTGCTAATGTCAAATCAAGCTGTGCCCCCTTGTTATTTAGCCAGCCAGAGCCAGAGCGAAAACCCAAAAGGAAGAAGCTGCTGCCCAACAGCCGCCGGCAACTGCCAGCCGCCAGCGACTAAACTCCATGTTGATTTTATTGTAAATTGCATTAAAAGATTGCATATAAAGAATTTTATTTATCACCTCGGTTGTTAGGGAAAACGCTGTTGGAGACAAAAGTCCTCCTCTCATCCTTGTTGCTGCTGTTGTTGCTGTTGGGCGGCATTGTTGCAGTTGCTGCTGTTTGTTATTGTTTGTCTTGGCATGATCTCAAGGTCTTTCTGTGGCAATTGGTTTCGTTTGGTTCGGTTCGGTTCTTTTAGCCCCCATTGAAGGTGTCGCTAGATATAGCCGCTTTTTGTTTAGCATGGATTGCACTTTTTGCCCGCTGTTCTTCTTCTTGTTATTGTTGCTGTTGTTGCCAGTGATCTTTGCCAAATTTGTAAATGTTCTTTTAATGGAATTTGAACACTTGCTCGCTGGCTGCTCAAGGGTTTTCGTTTATATTTATTTATTTAATTTTTTTGCGTTCTCTTGTTGTGATTTAAGTAGAACGCCTTGACTTGGGACTGTGCTGAACTATGTGCAAGAACTATGTATGTGCCCAGATCGATACATGGGGCTTGTCAGTGTGACAATCTTAAGGAATTGCTGGCAACCGCTCAGCCATGAAAAAAGCCAGCGAACATTTTAGTTTTCTAGTAACCATGTGCCAGGGGAGTAAAGTGAAGGGTCTCTTGATGTGTTTGTGTGTGTGCTATAGAGTCTGTGTGTGTGAGTGTGTATGAGTGTGTGTGTGTGTAATCGGAGCAATCGAATCTGCGACCTTAACAACAACCATGCCGCAGCTCGGATGAGGATCGATTTCACAGAAGCTTGTTAAATGTAGATGGCTGCCAGATGATTCCAGATAGAATCCAAGCACTTAGCTATTCCCAAGGATGCAAATCTTTAAAATAACACAAGAATTTTAAGAAGTCAGCAACTAAAACTTGAATTTTAAGACCCAAAATCTGCCTACCGACCTGTTTTTGCTTTTTTTTTCTGCTGAATGCTATTACAAGTATTTCTAATTGCATAAGAATTTTTTGTTTGTAAATATAAGTTTACAAATTGACGAACAAAACTGGTAAGATTTGCTGAGAATTCAACGTTAGATAGATCTCGATGTTGTATTTTTCTACAGACTATCTGCGTCCATTGATAAAAAGGTAAATTGTGCGCAGAGTTTGAAACAAGCTGAAAAGCTCATGCTCACATTCCCATGCTGAAAATTCAAGGCATTTGTTTGATAAATGCGGCATTCAGCAATGCTTCGTCATATTCAAAGCTTCACCTTTAAGCATACAGAAAACACACACACACAGATACACCAAATCTGGAACAGCTCAGCGAATGTGTTTTGACAACTTGCGAGGCTCGTAGTAAGTTGCCTTACGTAGTTGCTCGAGCCAAAATGTAAGGCTCCAAATGCCTTTTGAGAAAGCGAATTTGCAGACAAATAAATCAAGCCACCTATTTTCAAAGAGTGTCCATTGTGTCCTGGCCCAGGCTATGTTGGCCGGCCATTGGGGTGCCGACGACTGTTGATACCTAAAAATGGCAAAGCCGGTTCAGATTGAGAGGATCGCCTCTTGTAGTAGTTGTTGTTTCTGTTGTTGCTGTTGTACAATGCAATTGTTAACAAGCAAAGTTATGCGAAGCAAGCAGAAGACGACGCTGCAAACAGGCAACATCAAAGGGCAGTGCCACAGAGCCTTTTGAAATCTAGTGAAGATGCCCCAAGAAAGCGAGATGGACGATGGGAGATGGGTATGGAGAAAGAGCGACGGCGAGGTCACCGGCTGCTGATGCCCAGGGGCTAAGCAGGGCCTTAAATCTTTGCAGCCGAACATGACAAAGGATGTGCAAGCAGAGGCACAGGCACAGGC